CCTTTGTGAAAAATGAGATTGAGAGCAGCACAAAATGTGCCCTAAAATCCTTGATATGGATCATCATTTAGGGTATGATGGGCAGTTGTACTTGTGCATCCCTGAACATGTCAGGGTTCTGCCTTCATTACAGGCCAAGTTATGGCCTAGGTTAAATAGGGTTTTCAATGTGAACTGTAAATGGCCGTCAGATCCGGAATCTGGATCAGAACTGGAGGAAATTTGGCCTGGTGATACACATTGCCACCTGACATACTGTATGTGTCAAATGTTATCAAAAATGATTTTAAATGTTAAAGATGGGATATTTTTTTTGCATTATTTTTATGACCTTGCCCTTTGTTCTTTTTCAGCTAAAATCTAATCACTTCTATGGCTGGTCCTCACCAATGTATGATCCATCCAGCCGTTTGGCTGTAATCCTACTAATCAACACACACAGAACCAAAACCATTTTTACCTCCTTGGCCGAGGTAAACGTGGTGAATCCTTGCTTCAGTATGGGCAATTTTCAGAAGCCACTTTCCACTCTTGAACGAATAGATTTTACTCCAGATATACAGTACGGTAGAAATTATATTTAACAAGTTGAAAAAAAATCATAGGTTGTAGATGGAGGATTCGACAGTATCAATGCCACATGACACGTTATATGACTGTGATTACTGTGCCGCTGACGAAGTAAAAATGACCTAATGATGCCGCCCAATTATAGTCCAAACAGCAGCCACAATCTAATGATGCGCCATTTCTTCTTAATTTCCTCGTTTACTTGTACAGCCAACGGGGCCTTACAGAGCAGTGCAGCAAATGACAGCTCAGACTATCGAGGTCATTTACTGAGTGTTTTGAACAAATAGCTTTGTCATGCAGTAAAATACTCCTTCTAGAAAATAAACAACAAAAGACAAAAAAACAACAAACAAAATAAGAAATTCTTCTTTTAGCTCTCATCTTGTCATGTGTTCTCAGCTCTCTGCACCTTGTTAAAAAGAGTTTTGAGACCAGGCAACACCTCATTTTGTAACTCATCTTTTACCAGACATGAACTCAGAAATGTCTAACAACTTCACTAAATCCCGTCCAGACCTAATCTAGGTTATTTGGAAGCGTCGGATGCTGTAAGCTGTGAGCTTTCACAGTTGCAGTGGCATAAAGCCATAAAAACACACACGGCTGTGTGTGCACGGATACAAACATCCGCACATCAGCACACACACCTCTCGCTGACACCCCGGTGTCTGTTGGATTTTTGCCTGTGTGCTGGGCTGTCACTTGCTGTATGAAATAATGCATGGACTCCAGAGCAGAGCCACTTTCTCCCTCGCATTCTACTGAGTGGCCTGACAGCAAGGACCAGCTTTGTCACAACAAGCAGCTCGACTTAAAGCCCCCTTCAAACCAGGATCCACACCGCTGTGGAGACAGGAGCAGTTAATGGAACCCACCGGGTCTTCGACCTCCATTGGCATAACATGGTGAAATAAAGTACAGTGAACATTAAGAGAGGTAGAGGGTTAAAGTAGACACCAAAACAGCAATCTATGAACACACTGCGATTTCTGCTGACAAAGCAGGAACAACAATGATGCCTGACAGCACCATGTGATGGAAATAACAGCCACCATGCATAATGCAAGACACTCTGCTTCCACTGAACCAAGCACTCCGGACTCTCCAGGACGTGGCTGTCCCTCCTAAAAAGCCAGTCACTGTTGGGGGCTTTACAGTTTGTATGTTTGTATGACAACAGTCATCCCTCGACAGTTAGCGTCCACTGGGAGATGGGGTTGTAATTATTGAGATCTGAGATTCCAGTAGTGATAGTGATATCCTGTTTTAGCCTCAGAAGTGAGTTGCTCACACTTGATCTACCCATGGATTCCCAAAGGTGGGTGTCATGTTGCTTAATTGTTAGACAAACAAAGCAGCCGTGAAAGAAGACTAGAGGAAGAGGTTGGGCCCTCACAGCCAGGAGATAGGATCCCTACAGTTTCAGCTTTCAGGTTTCATAATACAGTTCAATCGTAATACAATCAAATAACATTTAGGGTATGAAGCTAATCTCTTTCATATAATAGTGTTCTTGACCTTTAGATCACAGTTGGCTGTAGTAGGTAGAGTGAGATGATGAGTCAGAGGTGTGTGTTTGGACACATCTCTGTATCTTTCTCTGTACTTGCTAAGCCGTGTCTACTTTGAGCAATCCAATCAATGTGAAGGATTTCATTTACATCCCTTTTGGAACTTTACCTCATCCATATATTTGAGTCCACTCAGAAATACATCACATTGCACAGTATAAGGATGGTCCAACTGCTCTTTTACCTGGTCACTGTAATCTGTTGTCCAGTCTAAAGGGGGAATTGTTAGGTATTTTTAGTCAGATAGAAATTGGATAGATACTTTATGTATTAGAAATGTTTAGTGGAGATAGGATGTCTAGTTAGACTGTTAAATGCTTAGTCATGCTTATGAGTTTCTACAGGGTACTTCTGGTCAAGGATAACTAGAGAGAAGAGTTGATGACTGTCAGCAGACAGGAGGTTTATTAATATTATTATTATTATTATGACATGTATAACTGTAGCCTTAGCCATAATATGATCTTATGTTTAAGTCACGACATGTTCTAGAAGTCTGTGAGAATGTTTTTAGTTACACACCACTTAATCAACAGACACACACACACACACACATTGATTTGCACTGTTTTGAAGTTATTTGGACTGTCTCGTCTCAGAGTTAGCAATGGTAAGAAGAACCAGTCCTTCAGTTGTTTTCTTGTTCTTGTTTTATTTTATATTGTTTCTTTTAACTGTTCTTTTGTCTATTTGTTCTAATTTGGACCTTGAGTCTATAATAAAGCGTCATTCATTGAATTCAATGCAAAGCACTGTTCTACTACATGACATCAGATAAAACTATGCACATCAACAAAAGTTGTATTTTCTTAGTTTTTCTAATTACAATTTGTTTGGAGTCATTAACTTTGGACACCATAAAACATGACAGTATTAGATAGTTCCATCTTAAGTCAAAGTCCAATACTTAACTATCAGCCATTTGTAAAAGCATCACTTTGCCTATTTTTGCAATTTGAATTGATCAAATCCATAAAATGTGATAATATTCTCTGTTTTAGTGCAGCTACTTCAACCTCTAATCTATTTGAAATTATTCAGGGATGGAAGAACAACAGGGACAGTTTGGCTGAGGCAAGTTGAATTGCTGGGACCCACACTGGACAGCCAAACACTGTCCAGGCATACACAGTATGCATAGTGGATATTATGAATTACTTCATGTTTAATAACATGTCAAAGTCAAAGCAAATTTGTGTGAGCTATAGCCCACAAAGAGAGGAAGGGGCTCAGGCTGCCCAGCATGATAACAGTCTCTATAGCCAATAAATAGAGTTGGTCTGTAGTAGTTTTGCCCCTGCTGCCTAATGCAGTGAGATGCATTGTACACATCTGGCTGTTATTCCTGATTCCAGAGCATATGGTAGCAAGGTTTGTTTTGTGTGTGTGTGTGTGTGTGTGTGTGTGTGTGTGTGTGTGTGTATACGTGTTTTTCCTGCTACGTGGGGACTTCTTCCTGACTCCATACCAACTCATGAGGACCCATTTCACGGTGGGGACCTAAATTGAGGTCCCCATGGGCAAGAAATTGAATTTTAGGGTGGCAACATGGTTTAGGGTCAGGGTTAGGGTTAGGCAAGTAGTGGTTCTGGTTAAGGTTAGTCTACAGGAAATGCATTAAGTCAGTGTAAAGTCCCCATGGACTATGAAACAAACTGTGTGTGTGTGTGTGTGTGTGTGTGTGTGTGTACACGAGAACGAGAGAGAGACGACGAACTTGAAACTTTCTTCACTGATGAACTGAAAATGAAACCCATTACTTTTTAATAATGATACTACTAAATTCGAATTGTTTTGATCTAAATATGTTAACACTTTATAAATGTAAGAAAGCGTAGTAAACTGGTTTTTAAAAATGCCCTGCCAGTAGCAAGGCACAATAAATAAATAAATAAATAAATAAATAACCTTTGAAGGTTACATACATGCATTTGTCAAAGAAACTTTACCAATTACCCCACAACAAAAGAAATGTTTTGTTTTACTACTTAATCAGCCCAACTCTATCAAAAGGGGCCTCCCAGCACCTCTTAAATAAAAAAGAAAACCCTGTGGTTAAACAAATAGAAGAGTGCAGTTGAGGTACTGACAAATCAAGCTAAGCTGTACTGTATTGCCCTCACAGTGAAGCTGCAGGGTTCACACACTGTAGCAAGACAACATGTAAATTCAACTATGAAGCAACCTAAAAGCACAGTTCCAGGTTCTCCACCTTGCTCCGCACCAAGTTAATACATGTCAGACCAGACTGTCCATTGAGCTCACTAACGAACTCAACACCATCAAACACCTGATAAAACAGAAAACTTGCTATCCTTCAAACCACAAAATCGTAAGTTCTTTTTGCGCAGTCTTCAAGATTAAAAAAAAAAAAAAAAAGGGGGTATGATAAGCCAGTTAACAGTGATGTAAACAAAGACAACCCTG